ATTTAAAATTTCTTGGACCCACACATTAAATTACAGATATTCAAAACTATCAATTTTAAACGATTATACTTTTTGAAATTTTTATCTGATCAAACATTAGACTTTAAATAGTAGAAATTTTTTTTGCAAATTCATAATTGGAGAACGAACATTTACCGGTAATGAAAGGGGGCCGATATAATAAGTTACCAACTGAGAAAACACTTTGTAATATTTGTAATTCGATAGAGGATAAATCTCATTTGTCTTTTTTATTCATTGTTAACTTAACTAAAACCTAAGAAATATATATTATGACTAACTTCTATAACTTGGTTTCCTTTTTAAAACAGTCACTTGCATTTAGGACACGAGGAATTTAAAAATTAATGTGTAACAAATATCATTGCTGTCTTTGTAGACTGTACATTTATTTACTGTTTATTTAGCATTGCAGTTGTTGTTATATGCATATGTAGGAGCCCTTTGCTGAGCGTTATAAGTGCTTGACAAATTTGAATTTGAAATAATGTGTTGATATCTAGCTATTTTACAAGATAACAAAGAAACAATGTAATATCTTTTCATTCGTGGTAATTTCTCAGTTACTCTTTTTGTTTTGCGCATACTGGCCCAAGTGCAAATAACTGTTTTTGCTGATTGATGATGATGAGCGAGACCGGGTGCGTTAAGAGGATATAAGCATGTCCTGTTACGCATGCATGTTTAGGACAGTTCAACTGAGTTCACCTATAACACGTTTTGTCGAATTGTATGGTTCTCGCATAAATGATAATCAATGACTTCTGAACTTATGATCTGATTTATGAATCATTTCTTGGATCATCTTTTTTCCGATAATCGATCTTTACACAATTTTAATATCACAAATCAAGTTTAACTACGAAGAAAACATCTGAACGCAACTTGTAAAATATCTGAACGCAGTGTAGAAAAGTTAAAATCAAACGTAAAAATTATAAGTTGAGCAACGACCTTATCAAATTAACCAAACGAATTTAATACCTTTATCGAGAATTTTTGCTTCATTTGTGAAATTGTTTCCAGCTTTATTTACGAAGTGAAGTTCGTAAAAATGAGCCTGGTCTTCTATTCGCCATTCAGTTCCGCCATGAAGTATTGTATAAAGAGCAGCTGATATTCCAGAATGCAATGGCTTCCTCAGATCAGACCATGTGACTCTACTCCAATCTATCCCGAATTGATTTCTTATAATGTTGTATTCAGCTGTTAGTCGCACTGCATTGCTATGGGTTTCGTCAAAAATGTTCTTATCAACCTTTCAATGAAATATAAGTGAACGTTATCTTTGGAGTGAGTGGTTGCGATGTTTATATTTCTTACTCTTGATGCATTCGGACATAACACAACAACGAAACAGATAGATTTATATTTTTGGCCAAAATATATTATACCTCGGGAAAACAACTATTGTCAAATTACAATTTTGAAAGGCTACCAAAATGGGAACCAAAATGGTAAATTGTTTTATTTAGCTGAACAAGATTAAATAGATAAAGTTTCTGAATTACCTTGATTTAAATATTTTCTTCATGTTGAGAAATTTTTCCAGGACACGTATTTGAAAACTTAATATTAACAAATTTTGGACTATTCTACTTTACAATGTGGCATAAAACTTTGTTTTGCAGATTTTGAGGATAACGTCTGAAATTTACATACCTGCCAAATTCCTCCATGGTATCCATCCCGAAATGTCTTAGCGTCATATCCGTTATGTGACTGAACATATGCTAACCTGACAAGGAATCTTTTGTCGTCAGCGAATAAGCAAGACTCCCTAATAAGATTAACTACAGCATCCACAACTTCTGAACCAATAGCACCGGGCTGGCGGGTTTGGTCGGCTGCATAACAGACGACAGTAAAGAGCACGAGAAGACAGCAGACGTTCAAAGACGCAGACATATTTCTCTTAACTGATAATTCGAAAGTCAATAGATCTTGGCGTAAGAAAAGGTTATCAGGGTTGAAGCTTATGTGCAAGTATAATAAAACCTTATCGAACATTAGATCGAAGATTAGAACAAGGAAGAGAGTCGACTTTTGATAGGCTATAGTCACCGAAAATCCCTCAGGAAAATCCACTAATTTTCAGTGTTGAAGTATTGAAGCTACAAACTACTCAAAATACGTTTTTTATTTATTAATATATACTGTCAGGTATATTGTAATAATATATCTGTAAGAAATCTCTATCAAAAAATTATCTGGCTATCTCTGGTTTTATTGTTTTTATGGTTGTTGTCTCACTCACGTATATTCCACATTTTTTATATCGAATATTCATACATAATCGAGAAAAAAAACCCAAAATCGACCTAATTGGAAATGCCTAAAAATCATGATTATTATCTTAATAATATCTGGCTGTGATCTCTTTAAAAATAAAGTATTGCGTCAAGTGATCGCCGGGTATACCTACGAGGAATAAGAATGACTTTAACTGAAAAGTTATTTCATGTCAATGTTTAAGCGAAAGAAAACTTTTGGGATCAGTTATGGATAAATTGTATATAAAACTAACGAATCAAAAAAGTGTGTTTTTTTAATTTTGTAGCGACGTCGCAGATTTCTTTTATGTACGTATTTGTTTTAACTACAAACCAGAACCGTCAAAACTTACTATATTTTAGCACTATTATACGGATAGAATTTTTGAACAAGAAAAGCCAAAAATTGGTTGAAAGTACACGAGCCAAGCGCCTCATTGCATACTTGGAAATAACAAACATAACAGGGAAATTGGTTTTAATTCTATTCTATACCTTGAAAGTTGCTGGTAGGTATTCATTTATAAATTAAAAAACGTATTCCTTGCAGCAAGTACATTTTGTTGTCATGTTTATTTTAAAAACAACATTAAGTTTGTTTATTATGTGGAGAAATTTTCTAGACTTGGGACAATTAAAAGCTTGACATGTGAGGTGGGTGCTATTCATCGCTGAAGGTCCCCAGATATTTACTCCGTGCAACTATTGTTGTTGGACTGTAGTCTCCAGTATATATGACCACTGATTAAAAAAAACTTTATTTTTATTGCATTTATTATTCCGAACGCTTACATCCGTACCCATTTCCAGTTGGAAGAAAATCTATATATAGAAATATGTATTACTAGAACAAAGCATAAGAAGAAACAAAAATAATTGGAAAATACGACATCAAGATATGAAAAGTAGCCAATACCGATAATAGCTGATCGCAAAAGTTTTCTTGGATAGGAATTATGGGTGAAGTGGGTTGTATGTTACAACAGTATTTTATCCTAACTAAATATTGTGGTACGTTATTCTCTGTGAGGAATGTCATTCGTTCAGTTTTGATGAAACTGGAGTTTACAGACAACTAAATGATGAAGACATACAATGGTTTGTTGTCTGTTTCTACTCGAAGCAATATGATAAAAATGGGATCATAAACCGATTAATATAAAGAAGATTGCTAAATCGGCTAAGAATATCACCATACTTATGGAACTATGTGACACGCTACCAAAGTTACTTGGACTTTCAAAATAAATACACAGTCACCTATCGTAGAACCTTTATTTGATTGCTGGCTAGATTTAATGTAGATGCGATTTGTTGCTGATTTTAACCAAATAAAATAAGCATAATAAGGCCGCCATGCATTAAAGACGTATTACAAAAAGGACACTTTTAAGGTTTTACCAACTCTTCGGTGTATTTGTGAACATTTGGTCAAATTATAGATACTTAATTGATTTTTTTTAATTTTTGATAGACTTGGACGAATTTTAATATCATCCAAAAAAGAAAGGGAAAAAAGCACATTCAGCCTATCCAAAACCCAGAGTTTATTGAATGTATACTCTCTTCCAAAAACAAATTAATTCATTAGTTGCATTTTATTATCATCATTTATTTTGTTTTCATAAATCATATCAAAGTTTTCTGTAAAAATACTAAAAAGTAAATCCAGTACAATTCAGAACACAGGCGCTTGGGGAATTACCCGCCCCCCCTTTCCTCCTTTTTTTATAAATAAGTTTTGTTTTTTTTTTGTAAATATTCTATAGTATTCTAACTTTTTTTAACTTATTAAATATGTTCTGCTATTTCCATACGGTGCAACAATAGGTTATAAACTTTGACCCTCTGTATTATTTTTTTAAATAATAGAGGGTCAAAATTTATAAACTATTGTAAATTCGTACGGAAAAGAGCGGGACACATGCATTAAATAAGTGAAAATGTTATAGAATATTTACTAAAAAAAAAAACCCCACACAACAAAAAAAGATTTAGAAAAGGGCGGGTCTATTCCCCAAGCGCCTGCGATTCAGAATCAAACTTACTATGGTCAGAGACATATAATACTTTTATTATATGTCTCTGCTCTAGTTTTTACTTTGGCTAATTCATTAGTCCCAGCAGAGACATATAATACAATATGTCTCTGGTCCCAGCAAGGATTTGTATAGTATACAATTACTATACAAATCCTTGGTCCCAGCTAGTTTTTTTAGAAATACCCAGCTGGATCCTACTGGAAATTTGGTGCAATCCAGAATCATGCCAGCCTAGCTTGTACAAATCTGGATATCTTGATTTCTCACTACTAAAGCGTTTAAAATCGACCTACAACTACAGTCACTGTGTTATTCATTTTTTTTCTGGGGGAGGGGTCAGGTTTAACCTCAGGGTTTAACTTGACGTCCTCATAATTTAGTCAAGGTTTTGTATAGTATAGATTTCAGTATACAAATCCTTGATTTAAAGTGCTCTAAGTCAGACAGTTGTTTTATTCAATTAGCCCAAGGATTTATATAGTAGAACATACCACAAAATTACTGAGTATACCTCTTCATTAATGCTGGTCAGGGACCTATATATATATTACTCAGTCACTATTAGTCCTAGATAAATGTGAACTATTCGATTCATACGGAATCGCTGCTTTTCCTTTACGGTAATATGCGACTTTTAATTTTACCTAACTGGTATTTTCCGATACTGTTGGAGAAAGGGAGATATATTTTATGTTTTTAAACCAGGCGAAAGAAAAAAGAAGAAAAATACATGTTCACTTGTAAATTACTAAAGATATTACTCTGTCATCACACCATAGATTAGAAAAGATTCAGAATGTCATGTCCTGTAACAATAGAACTAAGGTTAATATTTGATGGTTTTAACTTAAGTTGATGAATAGCAAATAACCAGCCCTTCTATTAGAATATATATTTTCATAAATGTACCCAGGAACATATATATTGTTAGATATACTGTTCCCAGATGTACCATGATGCCCATGCAAATTATATAATTTATAATTATTACGTCTTCGAAGGCTATTTTAATTTTTGCCTTGATGTCAATGAAGGATCTATAAAAATCAACATTGAAAAACACCCTCTGACAATGTCTGATGACATGATTAGGGGAAAATCGCTTAATTGCGGACAGCGCCGATATGCGGACGGAAAACGAATATCTCACCTTTCAATAAAATTATGGAAAATTGAAATAAAATAGATATAACAAATAAGGTGTTTTGTTTACTATTGAATCTATTTTGTTGCAATATAAGGTTATCATGATTATTGCTTACGATTTACTTGTGTGTCATGTGATTGAAATTGCATGCTATAAATAGCTTATGTCAACAAGTTTGAAAACCGGGAAATTTTGAAAAAGGTCCAAAGTCAGCGTGTCACATTCAATACACAGTTGTTCATGTAAGAATGGCAATTTTTGTGTTGAAAAGCAATAGGCATTGCGTATTTTATGCAAGGAAACATTTATTTTAATTATTTTTACTGATTTGTCTAAATTTTGATCACAAAATAGGAATAAGCAAGTGTCCGCATTTTCACCACCGAAAATAATATGATAGCCGAAATGCGGACACAAAATATTTTGAACAACTAACACGTGCAGTGGTGCATATGTCAATACCATGATGACGGAAATAAACAAAACTCTCTTATAATCTAGCATTATTAGTTTCAATCCGATACATTTATATCAATAAAGTGTTTATTTGAGTTTATTTGTTTTGCTTTCATTTTTATATTACGAACATAATGCATTTACAAGTCTGATTTCCACTCTAGTTGGCAACTTGCACACATCTTTAATAGGCCAAAAACTGAAAACGTTATCCCCGGGCGGGATGGCAAGCCAATCTATTTCTCTTTCTTTACAGAATGTTTACATGTTTAGGACTTTTTGCGAAAGCACATGGAATGAAATAAAAAGGTACAGAAAACAATCGCCCGAATGAAATTGCAACAATGTCTCGTAGACGAGTGGCTATTTGACAATGATGTTATTGGCTATTTATTTATGAAATTAATACGTTTATATATCAAAACATGAATATGTATCAACACTACTATGCAAAATTATTGAAAGTGATAAGGAAAATGAATTCAGCAGCATTGTGTTTGTTTCTAGAAAATCAAGTAGAAGAGGTGAAGAGTTGGACATTCTTACTGCTAAAGAGGCAGATGAACTTATTGATATCACGAATATTCTTTTGAAAGAAATGTTTTTACAAAACTTGTCAAAACATGATAGAAATAATGTAACCAATACACAAAAACAAACGAGGCCCCTTCACGGGGAGGTACCAGTAATCGCATAATCACCAAATTTTTGCCAACATAATCACATAATCATTAAATATTTGCTTTGGTAATCAAAAACTTATTTTCTTTAGTTATCAAATAATCATAAACTAAATGCTTTGTAATCATATAACAATTCAAATGTAAACTATTTAATAACTAAAAAGTTTTTAATGAGCTCTTCCCCGTCCTCATCCTTCTCCTCGGGTGAAAATGTATTACCTGCATCTTCCATATTCCTATCGTTAACCTGTTGTGTTTTAGACATTTCCTCTAAAGGCACAGAACTAGGTATGCATGTTCTGCACACGCTGGTATCCTTTCGCGAGTCGGATGATATCCGATGCCATTATTGGTCAGAGAACGGGCATTATATATGTATATATGTGTAAAAGTATATATGTGACGAAATGCACCGACGCCTATAGCGTATCATCATGCGTGACCACAATATACAGCACTACGTCTTTATTATGGCCTGTCGACTTTTGGCGGGTGCCCAATTATAGTAATCACTCTGCCCGTCTATTCATCCGTCCGTCTACACTTTCTATGTCGTAGGATAACTCAAATTTACTCCGACAGATTTGAAAAGAAATTTTAGCACCACATTTAGTAACATTAGAGGAAGCTCCCTTTCATTTTTTTTTACTTTTCATTTTCGAGATATTGGACTTAGGCCAGCAAGACCCTTCAACAATGAACGAATCATTCATATCCTACAAGGTCAAGACGGCCCCTTGCGTCGACTTAAGTGGTACTATTGATAAAAATAAACCAAAGTTCACCTTCTTGCTCCCTACCCGCCTCAGAGTGCCAACTTGTACGATGTTTGTGTACAACGGTTCTCCAGTCGAAAGCACCAGGGATACAAGAAAAGTGCAGTAATTTTGAAAGACATCGATCGCCGCTAAAATATGCTTTGAAGTTACACATGTCGGGAGCGGTCAATGAATTACATATATTTATAATTACGGGCTAGGTTTTTCAACATATATTTGTCATACATTGCCCAACAAAAGACCAATACATTACATTAGAAACAACAAATGATAGACAATACATATAAAACTAAACATAATTCTGACTTTTCCATAATTCCCCAAAATATTTTGGTGTCCATTTTTTCATATTCTTATTTTTTTTTTAAACATTTCAATTTACAAAATTTGCATGTTCCCTCACACCTTGCGTTTTCCCATAAATTTTTGATTTCCCAATTCTTAAAAATTAAGCCTTTTTACCCATTCCATAAACTGTTTACAGATGTTCATGGTGTAGGATGGGCCGCAAAAAAATCATGATTGTCAAAGAGTACATAGAAACCCGAGGATAAATAAAATTATCTTATAAGTATCGGAAAGTGCAAAAAAAAATCTCGCCTCAAGGCATCTTATGCTCTTGAGTGAGGGCTACAGATTTTTAAGTGATTAGGACATTAAAACACATTACAATGAATGCCATACGATTTAAAATTGAAAGTTATCACAACTATATCTCGTATATGTGCATGCATGCATCTTGGAAGACAATATCCCGATGGAAGTTGTCAGTACAAAAAAGTTTCTGCATCTTATATCATGGTATGGCATAAGATATTTAATGAACTTTTTTAATTTTATTTTCTCACCTTTCCACATGTATTACCAGTTCATGCGAGAAAACCATTCTCAAACATGCTTGAAGATGCACTGAAAGGGTATTCCTGAGGGTATTCATGAGATCTAATGTTATATATGCTTAATACCTGCGTTTTGAATAGCAAGAACTGTTTAAAAATAAGTGTCCGCAATTTGACGACAAGGTGTCCGTATTTTAACTCCTCCTGTCCGCATTTACGCGACTCGGCATTTCCGCGGGTTTTAAGAGTTTGCAATCTACCAATCAAGAGAGGAGACCTGAAAACGCGGGAAATAGTCCATTTGATACCCCTCTATCCTCTCCTGTCAAATACAACCACCAGTATGTCCGCAATTGGCCTCCACGGTATCCAAACTTCCAGATTTGAAAAAGTGTCCGCAATTAGGCGAATTTCCCCTATCTGGAATTATTATACCTTACATATATATATTATAAACAATTCAGAGGGAGGGTAGGAGGGGTCCTGATCCCGAAATCCCGGGCTTTAAAACATGAAATCCCGAGGTCCCAAATTTAAAAAAATTAAATCCCGACATCCCGAAATTCGAAAAAAAGAATTCCCGGATCCCAAAAGGGTCAATCCCGAAATCCCGAGCTTAAAAACACCCAATCCCGGAGTCCCGATAAAGGTCCTATCCCCCCTCAATTCAGTTGGGTAACACATTATCACGTGACATAGAATAATTCAGTTAATTTTCATTTAATTGCAAGGAAGGACGAATTACCCTAAAAATTTACACCAGCGGTATGGTTATTCACCAGCGAATAACCTTTTGAGTTTCTTGATTTCTACACGAGTTATCTCCCATGAAATTGATGTCACAGACGTAAGTCAACAAAATGGCAACGTTCACGTCACAAGAAGCCCATCGAGTGACGAGGAAACAAGGCTTTGGACATGCATCTAATGCGGATAATATCTTTTATAAACGGTACCGGTCCTTTTCAGGACCATCAATTTTTTACAAAAAGATTCTACCTTTGTTGTACATACATGACATACAAGAAATTCTAAGACACAAATGTATTTTCAAACGTCAACTTGTGTTTGTGTAACTATAGTAAGGTAAGTGCTTTTTCAATGGTTCAAAAGGCCCTTCCACTGTTCGTTCGGTATAATAAAACAATTGTGGCCCCTAAGAAGTGATAAATATCCAAAATTGTCAACCCTAAAAAATTATTTCACTTCGGGGTGCGCCATCAGTGAAATAACTTTCTCGTGTTGACAATTTTGGAGATTCACCTTTTCTAAGGGCCATAATTGTATATTATCATGATTATTTGATTTTTTTACCATATCTCTCCTATGTAGGCTATGAGTATTTGTATATGTTTCATAGATTTGTTGTCCTCATGGTCAAGAGATATAATTCATTGACTGAGTGGACAATGTAATTCGTTGACATTGATTGTTATGGAAGTGTGTAAACATGGTAAATGCGACTCGATGGTTTCTTAGTAGCATAAATGCAAAGTCTAATATTCAGTTTTCATCATGTTCATTGATTGGAATTGAATAAAAAATACATCAGAAACTAATACTTAAAGCTGGGAACAGCATATCTAACGGGAAATGAATCTGATAGGCTTTTCAGTATAAAATTGATAAAATCTTGGACTCCCCGAGACTTCGTGAGATTTATGGAAATTTTTAGCGTCTGACTGAAAAACTATCGGATCTGCTCAATAAATTAACCAAATAATTCTAATCGTAAATAAATACAAGTTTTATCATAAAGCAGATATATTTTTTCATATAAAATGACCAAAATAAGCAGTGTTCTCCCCAGGAATTTTGGATAGCATCACATTTGGCGTAAAAAAAAAATTGTATTTATATTTCAATGTCATTTGTTGCGTCGCGGCGATGCTCTCTTTCTTTTAAGTTATGTTGAATTTTT